TGGTACGTTCCGGTATAGCGGACCGTACCCAGGGTACGTTCCGGCAGTACCCTGGGGGACATAGACCCTATGAGCGCCAGTGACAGTGTCACCCTGTGCCGTGGCCCCATCATGATCATGCATAAATATCATAAATATGCACCATGGTGGTATCCTTTTTAGACAAGGAAGGTTTTCAAGCCGACTTTCTTGTATCTAGGACGTTTTATCAAACTTTGCTTTTCAGCAGAAACTAATAAAAACTTACCGATAGTAGTAAATACTCGTTAATCATTCTACATTTCCCGTTCTGGCGATAAACAACATTGCGCTAACGAACAGACGCACAACAACAGACACACGTCAATAGATAGGAATGTGATGATAACCCAATCGGGAACCCTCGATTCAACAGAATAGCCACTCTTTTCTAGAATGACGGAAAGAGCCGAATGGGTTTTCCGATTAGATGATGATAACCTAGACTGGTACTCGCTCCCACCTCGATTACTCGATAGTTACCCATCGAGTAACTAAGCCGAGAGGTGGGACCGGGTACCAGTCTAGATCACAACCTAGATGAGTGGCGCCATCCAGTGTTAGGAGCGGTCATGCAGCGATGCAGCGCTCAGATGCAACGTGCGCAGTGGCATCGTGTTTCAATGTCGTGTTGTTTACGACGTGTAATATTTACGTGTGGTATTATAAAATCTATCGCCATTTTCAGCGATTAGTTGGTAATAGTGATGCATTTTGCCACTTTTAATATGTCTAACTCTTTAACATCGCAACAATTATTTGTAAAGGTAAAGACTATGTAAAAGAAAATCTTGACCAAATTGACAGATGACCGCTGCGGATTGCATTCCAGTTTTTTGGTGTGTAAAAACAATAAAAATAAGTTTGAATGGATGATTAGAAGAAGATACCAAACGTACAAAGCACAAATGATTGATAATACTGGACAATTGGAGAATGCACATTTTAAGATACCCATAAAATCTATACGGACTATACCTTGTAAGCTTGGCATGCAAAAGGCGGATTTGAATATATGCATATATATATATTTACAGACAAGATCGAAGTGATACTAGTACGTGCATCATGAGAGCCTCTGTTGGCTCTCATTACCTCTGTTAGCTGCTGGTGGTGGTCTGTCGCTTGAGCACGTGCGTGAGCCCGTGTGTGGGTGTCTCTTTTGTTCTGCGTATGTGCGCGCGCGTGCGTACGTGCGTGAGCGAGCTCGCACGTCGACGCGTGTGCGTCTGCGTCTCTCTCTCTCTCTCTCTCTCTCTCTCTCTCTCTCTCTCTCTCTCTCTGCTTGCGAATCGCATGATTGGCGTGCATCGCGCCGTCCGTCCGTGCATCCGGCCGCTCCGTTCCGTGCATCAACAGTTGGCACAAATCTTAAAGCGGACTAGCTATGCCGTTCAGACCCCTCAGAAACAATCGAAGTGTATTTGTAGAGAGGACCTCGCTGTGCCGACATGCACTTGCGCGGCGAGGACGAGCCAACGAAATTACGTCAGAGGCACTCGCCGCGCCCTGATACGCTCACACAGGGCGCGCTACACCGACGTGAACGGTTTTAGCAAATCTAAATCATAGTGTAATAGGCGATAGGTAACAGGCAGCGAAGGTGGCAGTGAGATCTGTTTCTCTGCTGTCTTAGTGTGATATGTGGCTGTACCAACTTTGACTATATTTGCTTGTGAGCATTGCCTACAGCCACATTACTACACTAGTATGCATATAACCAGCCTGCACGTGTGACGTGGTATACGTGTTGCTTGCGCTGAAGATGTGTAAGAAAGCTGTTTGACAAGTCGACGAGCACACGATCGCCACACCGTTAATTACTACAAAACTTCAAGCGGTCCAGACGCCTACGCTGGCATATCAGTCAGTGATACATAACGATAGACCGCTGGGTGCGCCTGGTCAAACCTGTTTTGAAGTGCGCCAGGCAGGCACAGCATAGTACGCCCTACGTGTTTTCTCTGGGTGGCGTAGGATTTGCGATTGTAAATAACTCGCTGCCAGCTAGGTCGGCAGCACAACTGTTTACTGCGTGCGAGTTTGCGGAAAGTAAAGTCGTGAGCAAACAACAATGTCAGTTTTCCGGCAACATCTAGTGAAGCCGGGAGATAAACCTAAATGGGTCCAGCATCGCATTCGTTTAGATTCAGCAGGACAGAATCGCCGAGATGCAAAGGGTGAAGGAAATCGCGGGAATTTCACAAAATGGCGATTTCCTGGATTGTTCAGGCTGCGTTTAGGCACCACGGCGCCACTGCTAGTGAAATCACTGCGGCTGCAGCTGCTTCTGCGTACGTATTGTTCATATTATTATGTTTATTGAAACTGATACGTTTTTCGTTCACGCTCCGGCGGTCTGCGTCTGCATATAGCTCTAGTACTATAGCCCGCGCCCCGCGTTCGATAAACTGCCGCAGGCAGCTACCTGCGGCAGTTTATCGAACGCGGGCTATAGTACTAGAGCTAGTCGTGATACTGATAGTGATAGTGACATAGGCCTATTTGATGATGCTATACTCGTTACCTACATTAGTAACGGACCTGCGTACGGTAACAGTAGTAACTGGACCTACATTTGTGGACGTAGCTTTGCCACTTACTGTAGGCCTACTAATACTAGTAATACTGTACCCGTGTACTGCACAGACTGCATGTCTACCCGTGTATGTCTACACGGGTAGAGCCGTGTATATAAACATGTATGTATATATTATTATATATATATATATATATATATATATTAATTATTATATTCCCATATGATTCCTATACGAAATGTAATCCTATACTAAACATATATTACTAATACTAATTAGAGTGTATAATGCAAATTATAATTAACACAAATATATGAGCAATTATATGTTATGGTAACATAAATGTTGTCATCTGTGCTCACTTGCACATATAGGACGTTTTTTACAATGTGTTCATTTGTAAAATTGTTTCCAGGCTAACTGCAACTACATCTGCAGCTCTGGAAACACCTGCGAGAACTCCGGAGCGAGTCTTTCACTCAACGCCAGTTTCAAAAGGTAATTGTTTAGTTGTCATGTTCATTTACACAATGTTTAATCATTATTTAGTCTCTTTCATTTACATACTCATTTTATTCTAACGTTGACGATATTAATAAAATAATTACAAAAGCTATGTATTAGGAGATTACGATGTATGTCATTTCCAAAGTTAAAGTTATGAATGACTGAAACAGCAGTCATACACTAGAGTCATTGCACTTTAGTAAAGTAATGAGTGCATTGTTTAACAATATACCAAGGCTCGACACTAACTTTTTTTCCAGTGGCCTGATCGGGCCACCAAAATCATTGTTTTTCAATTTTTGGTGGCCCGAAAATGAAATCTGCATGGTGGCCCGAAAAAAAAACAAAGAAAATGTTGTCTGTTGTGTGTATAACTATAATACATGTACTGATTCTCATCACTTTTCCAAGTTTTCTTGTTCAAATTTTTTTTGATGAAATCGATTATGGATTTTGATAACCAAGCGCTTGCGTTCCGCCACTTCGTTTACGATGCATCGAGTATAAATCGATGCTATCGCGACAAAATCACTAAGCATGTACAATGATTAGTCAGGACAAAGCTTATTTGATGTTGCTATTTCATCACTCCAGCTGCCCAAAGTAGGCAAGTGCTTGCTACTGCTTGATGCCATTAAGCCCATCAAGAATCACTTCTGGTACTCGTCATTGAATTGCAATGGCGATGAGAGAGCTCTGAAGGTATGCATACGCTAATCTGCTACGGGTACATCAATACGCTAATTTCTCCAGTACTAGACTAGCAAATACTTTGTGTCATGCATAATCACACTACCTTATGACAAAATAAACTCTAGTTACTCATATTTAACTGCGCGTTGCCTTATGAAAGGCATTCGAAAATACCTCCAATGTTGTTCAAATTCTCCGATGTTGTTGACACTTTCTCGTGCTCTGCCTAAGGAACAGTGCAGCGGAGTAGCCAAATAAAAGCGTGACGTCGCGTAACGATTCCAGGCCGATATTGCGATGCTTGCCGGCAAACAATTACGGCTTTGCGTGCCAGCATTACCTAATTTCGCACGTCTTTCTTGTGGGTTTTTAAACAAACTCGCAGTGAAATGGGAGAAACTAGAGTTCATTTTGCTATAAGGTATGTCGATATGCCATACTACCACTATAATCGCAAAGAAGAACACTAGAGTCATGTTGCGCTATAAGTAGTGTGATTATGCATAACTACACTATTAATGGGAGAAATAGAGTTCATTTTGCTATAAGGCTAGTGTGCATTATGCATAAACTACACGTATAATTGGGAGAAACTAAGAGTCATTTTGCCGTATAACGGCTAGTGCTGCATTATGGCCATAACTACACTATAATGGAGAAAACTAGAGTTCATTTTGCGGATAAGCCGTAGTGTGATTCATGCATAACTACACTATGAATGGGAGAAACTTAGAGTTCATTTTGCTATAGTAGGGCGCTGATTATGCATAACTACACTATAATGGGAGAAACTATGCAGTTCATTTTGCCATTAACGGGTAGTGTGCATTATGCTAACTACACTTATAATGGCAGAGAAACTAGAGCTCATTTGCTATAGGTAGTGTGATTATGCAGAACTACACTAAATGGAGAAACTAGCAAGTTCATTATTGCTATAAGCTTAGTGTGATTATGCATAACTACACTATAATGAGCTTTCTCGGCCCAGCCAGCTTACATTCTTACGGTAGGCCGTGTCATCGTCCTGCCTGCAGCCGCCATGCCTAGTCGCCGTGCGAGAATTATCTGTCAGTGGCGTTATCCCTCTGCTGCCCACGATTTTGCTGCCTACGAACGGTGCCAGTGGCCGCTTTCGCAGTCATACTCGCATTACGAGCACCACCGCGTTGGCCCCGCAGACCCATTATAGATGAGAGTGATTCCATTATTTAATCGCCTACTTACAGCAACCTCAAAGATTGCGTTCTCTACCGGATCGATGAATTTGACCCAGCCTTCGACGTTTTGATGCGAATGCCATAACGTCTTGGTACTGCAATACGAACACGTTCTCTCCGCCCTCCGGGATTCTATCCGTGGGCGCCCCGAAGCGATAGCCCCGCGGCTAAATAGCGCACTAATTACATTTTGCTACAGGACCACACGGGCTGCTGTCAGTCTTGCATTGCCGGGTAGAATGCCAATTTATTATTGTCTTATATTGTTTTAACTATTCATTACGACCGGAATATCATTTACCCTATTTTATTTTACTTATGTCACTGAATTTATTTAGTGCTGTTTTTTTCTCGTTCGATTTTATTTTGTTTTTATTTGATTTTGATTGTTATTTTGCATTTGTATAAGGTCGTAATGTGCCAGGTACTAAATTGAGCTATTCAGACAAAAGCTTATATTGATGGATGTTGACGGGCCGCCGGGGGAGGCTGCTGTCCGTTTTAATACCGCAGACAATACATAGGGTAATAAAATACACATTTATAAGTATTGTTCTAGTTTGGCCGCGTACAGAACCCAACTGTGTAAAGCCATAGACCTGGACTAATGAGTAGTGAGCGCAACCAATTATAACGGTCGCAATGTAGCAGGTTCGCCGCCAAAAAACAATAGATAGCGCGTATCCCAGTTAATGGGTCTATAAAATATCTACTGGTTTTGAGAGCAGAGCAGACAGGACCAGTCAGCAGATAAGATATAGACAAAGAGATTAGACAGCGTAAGATACAGAGATTATTGCCACATTTGCCATCACCGAACGGATGACCCAGCATTAGCCTACAGTAAGTGTGCTCGACGTACTGTCCTCGCGCTAAACCTACGTGTACGCCGCATACCTTGCTTATGAATTATACATCAGTACATATAAGAGAATCATTGAATACGTATAACCAGTGTTGTTGTGTTCTTTATATGATGAGTCCGATAGACGTTAGCAACAGGGTGTTACATTATATATACACTCACGCGTAACCACTTATACGCATAACGGTAAAAGCGGAGCAGCCTTTCCTACATCCGCCTCTATGTTCCAACATCCTTATTTGTCGTTATGTTAGGGCTTTAGACAACAATATGTTACAGACGCCGAATTTTTTTCATTTTTTGCACAAATCTTACACATTTCTGTACTTTCATTGTTTGTTTAGTCATTAACAGTTTTAAGAAAATAACACTCGTTGAGGCACATAGGGCCTGGGCGAGCTTCTAGGGACCGCCCGAAACATGGGACAGCGACATTATATAATTTGATAATTAATACTCATTGCTACTATGCTTAATTATATATTATATTATCAATGTCTTATATTCATATTACTATCATTTTACATATTATTAAATCATAAATACACAACATGCCGCCACCACTGCCCATCGAAGCGAGCACCATGACAGTTTACGAGGTGTGTATAATGAGATGTTTAAAGACGTAGTAACCTTGCAAACAAACATTTAGTTGCAAGCCATAGGCAATTGGCAGGTTGGCCCATTGCCTGTTGGGGAGTTACCAATAAAATCTATACACTATATATATCTCTCTCCTCTCTCTCTTCTCTCGCTGCTCTCCTCTCTCTCTCTCTAACTCTCTCTCGCTCTCTCTTTCCCCCTCCTAGCCTTATAATCTCTCTCTATCTTCTCCTCTCTCTCTCTAACGCCACCAACGCACGCGCACACACACAAAACCACGCACACGCACGCTGTTCTCTACCTCTCTACTCTCCCCTGCCCCTCTCTCTACTCTCTCTCATCTCTCTCTCTCTCTCTCTCTCTCTCCCCTCTCTCCTCAGCTATCTATCTCTTCTCTCTCTCTACTTTCCCTTCTCTCCTCGCTTACTCTCTCTCGCTCCTCTTTCTCTCTCTTCTCTCTCTCTTTCCCCTCTCTTCTCGCTTATCTCTCTCTCTATCTTTCTCTCTCTCTCTCTCTCTCTGTCTCTCTCTCTTTCCCCCCTCTCTCCTCGCTTATCTCTCTCTCTCTTTCCCTTCTCTCCTCGCTTATCTCTCTCTCTCTCTTTTCCCTCTCTCTCTCTTTCCCTTCTCTCCTCGCTTTTCTCTCTCTCTTTCCCTTCTCTCCTCGCTTATCTTTCTCTCTCTCTTTTCCCTCTCTTCTCGCTTATCTCTCTCTCTCTCTCTGTCTCTCTCTCTTTCCCCCCTCTCTCCTCGCTTATCTCTCTCTCTTTCCCTTCTCTCCTCGCTTATCTTTCTCTCTCTCTTTTCCCTCTCTCTCTCTCTCTTTCCCCTCTCTCCTCGCTTCTCTCTCTCTCTCTCTCTCTCTCTCTCTCTCTCTCTCTCTCTCTCTCTCTCTCTCTCTCTCTCTCTTTCCCCTCGCTCCTCGCTTATCTTTCTCTCTCTCTCTTTCCCCTCTTTCCTCGATTTTCTCTCTCTCTCTCTCTCTCTCTCTCGCGCGCGCTCTCTCTTCTCACTTCAGGTGTATAATTTCAGCATATATATATATATATATATATATATATATCACCTTCTAAGTAGCTGCATCCATCAGGTGTTTCCTTCATGAAATTATAGTATACATGTACTTGTATTTTAATTATATGCAAAACTATAATAATAATAATTCTGTACTTCTGTACGACACTTGAATTCATCCGATCACCGGGCAAATATATGGGTAAGCGGAAGCGGTGACCGGTATAAACGGGCGTCCCAATTGGTAGACTGGTTTCCAGTCTCTACTATGAATATAGGCAAGTGTGTTATTAGTTATTATCATAGATATCATATAACAACAACGTTGTTATATGATATCTATGGTTATTATCTACTCTTGATATAGGCAAGAAGGCAGTTGATCTATGATCTATCGGTAACGTGTAGGCACAATATGCTCGTCTACGCTTTTGGTAGACTGGTATTCGTTCGCCGCCTTTACTCCGGCATATATCCTTCGCTACAGTTTAGCGTGTGGAACTGTCGACCGGGTACCAGTCTACGCTTTTGGTTGCATTCGTGTCATTCATAAAACTACACCGTACAAACCATTTTATACGGTTGTACACTGTATTTGATTTGTTACGTAAAATCTGCAATACATTATTGCTTTGCAGTTGAAAGGTAACTGTTAAGCTTGATAATATTTAAATCATTTGTTTTTAATTGTTGCATTGTATAACTTATCATAGCATTTACAAATTATTTCAAAGTTACGCTACTATCTTATGTATTATGACATTGTTAGTAGCAGCCATGCGATTATCGTTGTGGTGATTGTGATCTTGAGGATAGTTGCTGTAAATGGTATAGACTTGATATACACGTAACACATTCTGTATACACATTCACAAAGAAGTTTGCGACTGTGATATGAGTATCTTGGATGACACGGAAGACAGCGGATTAGAAACTATGAGTATGAACACACCAGATAGCCACGAAGAACCCCCTAAGCTGGAGCAAGAAGCTGGCCAAGGCGACCCAGTGTATGACGGTAGCATAAAAGCAACACCAGCAGTTCCACACGAATCAATACAACCAAGAATCCCACAACTTGTAAGGGATGATGAAGAGGAGGGTGATGACGATGATGTATGTAAACAGTATAGTTTGGTAGATAGTTATAATATCTTACTTATTATCATTGTATTTTTAGCTCATCTGACGTAGTCAGATGCACAGGCACCTATATCTAACACGATCCCCCAATGCGAGCACCGAAGGTGTGAGAAGGTAGGACACACAATTTCACGAATGTCCGATATCAATGAAAGTTTTTGATTCTCAATAAAAATATGCACATCCCCGTATTCCTACTTTGTTGTACTAACCTCCCCTGTATATGTTTGCACTGTCGATGATATTTGACAGCGTTAGGAGAGTAAAATTCGTCGCCAGTAAAAAATTAACAGTTCCCACACGTACAATGGCGGTCATGGCGTGGCAAGTCATGGACTCATGGCAATGCCGCCACCTGATAGGACAAAATTCGGTGCAAATACACTTTATGACGTCCAGTATGGCGGCGCAGTATGGGGGCGCCTAACCCTAACCCTAACCCTAAC